ATAACTATGATGAAAAACTACATTGCAACAGAAATCTTGAGTGAGTTTTTGAATAGAGACAAGGTTTATGGATAATCTAGGACCATGGAGAACATTTTTTTAAATCAGTGATGGGCCTATTTTGACATTTCCTACACCTGCTACAGTGGTCAAGGAACCATCGGCTGTGGCTATTTTCCTACTAATTGGGCATAGCAAATATGTGAACAAACCATTCGATGAGTGGGTCATATAGTCGGTGGCTCCTGAGTCCATGACCCAGGAGTTGGCAAAGGTTTCACAACTTTCACCCGAGACATTTAATCCAATAGAGGTAGGAAACGCACCTGAATATATCAATGAGCAAGTACCTAAAGGTTTGTCAAGATTACCAATAAGAGATCTCACCCTCTCGACCTCTTCTTGGTTGAGACTGCCTAACTCCTGTGGTGCTGCTTCATTTTGTTGCACTGCAGCCTCCGCGGTCGTCTTTGCAACCTCCGACATTCTTCACGAACAATGATCTCTTGGCCATTAAGGCCGATCACTCAAAACGGAAACCACCAGCAATGAAGATTGGCAAAGGTAGAAATAAGAACGGAAACTGCTCTACGAAATTTCAGCTATGAAGGCTGAACAGAAAGAGTGCAAAAATACGTTTTTGAACTAAAAACCGGGGTAAAACAGGGTACAAAGAAGCATCAGTATGGTCTCGGCAATGAAGGCCTATGTGAAGAGCTTTTCAATCCCAGAAAAGAGCCTAAAGCTCTGATACCATGACACAAACTGAGAAAAGAATTTCCTTCATTTTTTCTTGAATAGTACACAAAACGTTAGCTATATACATCAATCCTAGCAGCAGAAAAAGGAAAACTAACTAGGTTATATCAAATCCCATGATTTATGGGATATTTTAACAGAATAGAAAACAAACCAAATCAGCCTAATTCTAGGAATACAGGCTATAACAGAATCAGCCTAATTCTAGGAATACTGGCTGTTATAGAATTTCCTAAAATAGCTAACTATATACGTATAGAATACAAGTCATTAAACACATTTTCCCACAGTAATAACAAATAAGCCCCTAACAACAGGTTCAAGGTTGGAAGCGGGAGTAATGTCAGGTTTTGGGAAGATAAATGGTGTGGGGATTCGGGTTTAGCTAGTAGATTCCCTCGTATTTACCGAATTGCTATGTTTAGAGATGTTGTGGTTGCTAACTATTATCGTCTCGATAATGGGAGGGTGACTTGGAATGTGCGATTCCGAAGACAGTTTCATGATTGAAAACTTCTGGAGGTTACAAACTTCAAAGCCTTCATTTATTGATAGGTGGTGGTCGGGGTGGGCATGGACGAGATGTTGTGGGTGGGTACCCCAAGAGGGGTGTTCGAGGTTAAGTCCTTCTACAATAGTATGTTGGAGCATCTTGGCCCTATGTTTCCTTGGAAAGCCATTTGGAGGACGAAAGCTCCACTAAAGGTGGCATTCTTCTCGTGGATTGTTGCTTTAGGAAGCATCCTTACTATTGATAAACTTAGAAAAAGAAGTCATATTGTGATTAATAGGTGTTATAAGTGCAAGAAAATGGGGGAATCTGTCAACCATCTCCTTATTTATTGCTCAGTGGCTAGGGATGTTTGGGCTATGTTTTTGGTTGCATTTGGTCTTCCATGGGTGTTCTCAAAATTCACAGTATACTTGTTAGAGACTTAGAAAGGGTGTACAGTGGAGAGCCGAGTCAGAGATGCTTATAGGGCCACCCCCCTTTGTATTTTTGGTAGGGTCTGTCGCACGAAAGAAATAGGAGATACTTTGAAAGAGAGGAGTCTCCCATTTGGGCTATTAAATAGAATATTCTTACTTCTTTATTCTTTTGGGTAAATGGGCGGGATTGTAATTCAATGGAGTGTCTTTTGGATTTTGTGGATAGCTTAAAGCTATAGTGTCGATTTTGGTCGGCTGTTGTCTTCTTTGGGAGCGCTCCCCTTTTGAGTGCCTTTTATAAAAATCTTAAATACCAAAAAAAAAAAAAAAAAGACAATAAGTGGTAAAGAACACATGTTGGCAATGGTTGATGATTATTCTTGGCGCACATGAGTAGTATTTTTAGTTAAGAAATCTAGCTTTTACCAAATTAATTCATCATGGATCTAATTGGTTTAATACCTATTAAGACTATAAGTGGTAAAGAACACATGTTGGCAATGGTTGATGATTATTCTGTGCACATGAGTAGTATTTTTAGCTAAGAAATCTAGCATTTACCAAAATAAACAATATGTCAAAAGAATTCAGAATGAGAAGAATAGAAAGATAAAAAAAATAAAAAACTAGAAGTGGAAAATTCTTTAGTGATTGTATTCCATATTGTGAAGAACAAAGAATAAAACATGAATTTTTCAACAAAATGGGGTAGCTGAAAGGAAAAATAGGCTAATACAAGAAATAGGAAGGTCAATGTTAAAATTAAATGCGTCAACCCTTTTACAACACTTGTGGGTTGAAGCTGTAAATATTGTTTGCCAAACCCTAAATAGAGTTTATTTAAGGCCAACGCGAATAAGAAACACTAACTTTGGTTTGATAAGAAGCCTAACCTTGAGTACTTTAATACTTTTGGAAGTCCATGTAATAATATTTTGCGAGATAAGTAATTTAGAAAATTTTGACTCTTGTAGTGATGATGGATACTTCTTAGGTTATTCTTCAAACAATAGGGCCTATTAGACCTGTCAATGGATTGGATTTTGATCCGAATCCGATTTGATTATCCGGATATGGATTGAGTAGCAAATCCGATAACCCGATAATGATGCGAATCCGATAATCCGTTAAACTTAACAAATCGGATATGGATTAAGGTTGATCCGATCCATTAATAATCCGATGCGACTAAAATTATATATTATTATTTTTATATTTTATATCTTATCATATATTAACCTTTAGATAATAACACCTGTTCACCTGCTTCAATACAACGACAAAAATGAGAGTTCCAGAACTGTGTATCACTTTCAGGCTCCAGAAAAACAATGAAGGGAAGAGAGCTCCTCAACCCACCGTTAGAACTCTCTCCGGTGTATTCTGTATGCATCTGCTATCTCCTTTTTCCTCTCTTTTTCTGAAGCCTTATTTTTTTATGCCCTAATTTTCAATCTTTCAAAACAAAGTTATTTCAGATTTTTTTCCATCATCTTCTTCTTTGCTCTCTCTCTCTCTCTCACTCTTTCTTTTTCTCTGTACATGGTGATCACGGATACAAACAAAAAATAACAAAAAATGTTCCTCTTTGTTCTACCCATAACTGGAAATGCCAAACATAGTTGAGTAAACTGGTTGAGATTTCATTTTTAATTAGTTTGAGCAGTAAGAGGAGAGAATTATTTGCCCTAATTGCTTGATTTGTGCAAAAGTGCAAAATTTAATCGGAGCCTAAATAACAAAAATGTTCACTTTTTGTACCTCTTGATTCTCAATCTTCTTCTTTTCTGAAGGAATTGCTTGCATCCTAGAGGAATCGAACCTTAGACCTGATACTTCATGAGGCACCAGGGCCAAGTTCTTCTTATCCACTTGAGCCAACCCCTTGGGGTTCTTGATTCTCAATCTTCACCATAACCTCATTTGTATTTCTAGATTTACTAAAGTTACACTCCATATATTAAGTTTTATTTCTACTTATCTTAAACCCTTTTAATTCTGAAGTTTCCAACCATGGAACAGAACGATCCTAGTTCTAACATTAAGGCTATAGTCATATAAGACCTATTAATTGGAGAATTCTTTTTGCTATAATTTTAACAAATGAAACTAGAGCAAGTATAAGTAATCAATCAAAAATACATAGAGAAGCACTAAAATCAAGAGTGTTTAAGATAAGTAGAACTTAAATTCAATATCTGAAATGTAAGTAAAATTAGAATTGCAAATGTGGATGAATTGAATATCAAAGGTCACAAATTACCTAAAAGGAAACATTTTCATTACTTAACCGGGATTATGCACAAGAAGAAATAATTGTAGTCAACGTTAATCACATGATTAAAGTCAGATGGTTAAATAGAAGAGTGCTTATGACTTATTTTAGGATCGGCGTAAACCTTTAATATTAAAAGGTAATTTTTATAAAACTACTATTAGGCCAACCATACTTTATGAGACAGAATGTTAGAAGGCTAACAAAAGACAAATTTATAAATTGAGTGAGGCAAACATGCAAATAAGAAGATGGATGTGTGCAAAAAAATAAAGATGAAATTAGAAATCGATACATTTGTGAGATGGTTGAAGTAGCTCCAATTAGAGAGAGATAAAATGAAATAAAATCAATTAATATGATGTGGCTATTTGCAACAACCGACAATAACTGCATCGATCAGGAAAACAAATGTTGTGGTATTATGGAGGGTAATGTTAGGGGGAAGGGAATGACAGAAATTAACAAAAGTTGAGATGGTTAAAAGATATATATATATATATGTGGCTTAACTGAGGCGTAAAGCTCTTAGATAGAGCAAAATGATCTGACACCAATAGTTAGAAAAATGTTTTATTGAGTTGAGTTGAGTTGAGCTGACTGTATCAGAATTGGAAATGTCAACAATTAAAATAATGCCTGACATCAGAAACCAATGTCAATTAGGCTAAACAATGGACAGACCAGGCATAAGCATAATTATATTCCATAATTATATTTCAACAATTTCTCAACAATGAAAGCATTGATTAGTTTTTCTTTTTTATCTCCAGTTAATTTAGATAAGCTTTAAATTTTAGTAAATTAGAAGGAAAAGCATTGATTAAACCCCAAGGACGAAGTTAAAAATGCATCATAAAAGAGTTCAAACGCACCCCCAACATATATATATATAATAAATAATAATAATAACATAATAATACTATATTTAAATTAATCAACAAAATAAAAAGATCATCCATTTTAAAAATCTAAAAGATAGAAAGTTAGAAATCAATAAAACAAGAAGGCATTAAATAATAAGCATGAAACATACCTTCCCAACACGTAAGGAGCGAACTTAACAGATGTAAGTCCATACAAATAGTTTCCAAGAGAAAATGGAAGCAAAGGGCTCAATCGGAGTAGCGTAACAACTCTGAACCCATTTTCTCCAATTGCTTTGTCAATTGCAAGAAATTTCTTGTTTCCCTCTACTAGTTTAAGAATACGCTCCCGAGCAAAATATCTTGCAATTAGAAAGGCAACACTTGCTGCTACCTGAAAAGGGTAAAAAAAAAAAAACATAGAAGTTCAAGTACTGAGGGCTATAATTTTGCTCTCTCATTCATACTTGCAAGCAATCAACTTACTGTTCCACTGATAGAGACAATGATCGTTCCAATAACAGAGCCAAATAGAAGACCGGCTGACATGGTCAATGGAATGGCAGGTATTGCAAGGATCTAGGAGAACACAAATAATAAAATTCAGTTACTTGAATTGTACTAAGAAAATAAAACCTACAACCAAATGCTTACTTCTAATCCAGCATACACCGCTACAAATAGAGCATATCCAGCTGGCCCATAACCTGTTCACTAAAAGAACTTCATGAGAAAAACTTTATATTTTGTTTTTTTTTTAAAAAAAAAAAATGCATTCTTTTACAAATTAAAGACTGTTGAAGCATATTAATGTCAGTATATATTTTATTTTACACTCCATCTGTATTGATGTTGTTAGAATGTATAACGTATATGGGACCAACAGGCCTGTGGTTTAACGGTACAAGGCTCCTACTTCCCAAAGGGAGATCAGGGGTTCGAGCCTCAGTGAAGGCAGTATGTATGAGTTTCCCAACTAGGAAAAAAAAAATGTATATGGGTATATTTGGGAATATCTCTTATAAGGGTATGTTGGTCATTTTGTTGTAATGTGAAATAGTTATTGTTTATACCCTCAATATTAGCCACTGGAAAGGCGACATGTCGCGATGGAACTTGCCATAGTATGCTAGTCCTACTAAAATAGGGTTTTGAAAGGAACCATTCAGATGACACCATGGGTCACCAAAACAATTTGAACCCACATGGGCATAAGACTACTATATGGAAATTTCCAGGATATGTCAAGGTTGACCAAGTAAAGGAAGAAAGGGGGGGAACGCAGTTCTACAATTCCTCCTACTTTGTAGGGATGTGCCAACAACCATGCAAACCCTTATGTCCAGGTGCATCGAATATCTATGCCAAGTCAAAGCAAGTCTCTAAAAATAGAAACATGGATGGCCAGACAGAGAAAAATAGGGAAGTATATCTTTACATATATATGTATATATAGTTCGTGCATATAAGAGGAAGTTGCTTGATCGTGGGGACTAAATGCTTTGGAAACGTGCTAAGAAGAAAATTCAGCTAAGGAAGGAGTTACCAAAAATTGAGAAGAACATGCATATACATATACATAAGTATATAATTTGTATATAGTTTAGGTTTAGGATTTTATGAAGAAAAGGACTCTGCGTACAAGAAGGAAACCAGCAAGACATAGGACACTTGGCAGTTCAAAGACAAGCCAAGTGGAAAGTGTAACTGCTGATGGAACTGCCAACTTTCCATCTGGGCAGTTTCAGAACGGGAGTAAATGCTTGTAACAAGCATTCAACCAGCAAAACCACTCCTTCAAAACTGTAATTCATAGGACATCATGTTCTTACACGTGTCAACACTGTGAGAAGACTAAGACATGGGACACGTGGCACTATCCGGACCTTCCAGGTGGAAGTTTTAACTGCTGCTGGAACCACCACCTTCCCATCTAGGCACTTCCAGAACGTGGGAAAATGCTTGTAACATGCATTCAACTGCCAAGACCACTATTTATAAGTTGTAGATGATGAGAGAATATGATTTTACACATGTCAACACTATGAGAAAGCTGGGGAAGATCATGGGACACTTGGCAGCCCAAGGACAAGCCAAGTGGAAGTTGCTGGAACTGCCACCTTCAACTGCTGCATAGAAAAACTCTATAAATAGAACACTAAGGCCTAGCATGCAAATCCAGCTCAACGCACACAACACATCAATATAGCATCTTTGCTATTCAATTTCAATCCATGTATCTTTCATTCCAGCAATGAATTTACACTATGTTTAATCTAAGTCCAGCACTTCTTTTTACTACTTTCCAGCAAGTAGTTTTCAGTACTTTCACTTACAAGTCCAGCACTTCATTTCTTACATTCCAGCAATTACATCTTAGTTGCTTTATTTCAAAGTCCTGCACTTTAAATTCCGTCTTTCTTTCCATTAACACTAGAACAGTTCCGAAGTCATTTTTCAAGGCTAAAAGAACCTTTGAAGGTGGTCATTCCAGTCCTTCATACAATCGCCTGATCCTAAAATCTCCAACTGGAATATTGTTTGGAGCCTCTCTTTGGAACGACAGCAGTTCTTGGCACGCCCGCAAACCCCTTTCCACTCACCCGAAAGGGACCCTGATTTTTGTGAGCCAAACATATTGGCACGCCCGGCGAGACATTTAAACAGATTGTTTCATGGCTGGTGGAAGAAGGCAAGGCAAGGCAAGTCTGTCCAAGACTCTGCCGAAGTAGAAGAGATGCAAGCCAGTGAACTTCTAGTGGAAAGTTCACGAGTTGCACCGGAAGAAAAAAATATGGTTGAAAAGTTTGCTCAAGCAATGGCAAACGGACCTATTATGGATAACATCCGCATGATGGCTTTCCAATGCTCAAGATCCAGGAAAAGCCGCTCAATCTCAAGAGCGGAAGTTAGAAGTTTTGGTAGACCGAATCTCTCCTAGGTTTGAATCTATATTAGAGCGGTCTTTTGGAAGTTTGAATCAAAACTTGGCCTCTAGACCAAATAATTCTGAAGGGACTCAACAATCAGCCTTTCAAGTCAATAGGCTGACCACATTTGTTGAAGGCAGTACCTCTCAACAACATGCATGTTCATTCCCTCAAAACCAGCAATAGGTGCATTCTGTTCCAATGGCGTAGATCCACATTCCAGTAGCACCTGTGGTCTCTCCAGTGGCGCAGATGTCCATTCCACAATCAGTGCCCATGCCAGTCACTCAACAGGTCTAGAATTCCACAACAGACTTGGCATGATCATCCTGGCCAGCCGTTTCCATACCGCATTCCACAAGGACAGCAAAATATTCCACTTATGAACACTCAGCCAGCAGTGACTACACCTCCGAGGCCACACATAGCCATTCTTATGGCGGTTAGGGGCAACCTTTTCCAAGGGAGCCACTTCCAAATCAAGGAGGAAGAAACCGCTAGAGGAACAACCTTCTAACCCACTGCCAATGGCAGGTCGGGGGCATCAAGGGGTCAATAAACCTTAAGGTTGGTCAGATAATAACCTTGCACAGCCCATGATGTTTGATAGAGGCCAGTTTGCAGAATTTCTCCAAGGAGTTTGGCCTAACACAAAGGGGTGGAAGACCGGCATATAAAAAACCCTATCCAGAGTTCGTTGATGAAATTGAATATCCAAGGAATTTTAGAATTCCAGAGTTTACGACATTCAATGGAGAGGGCAAACGGTCCACATTGGAACATATTAGCCGTTTCACTATCCAATATGGAGAAGCAGCAACAAATCCATGGCTAAAGGTACGTCTGTTTCCAAATACACTAACTGGGTATGCTTTCAGGTGGTATTCCAACCTTCCAGCCAACTCTATCCAAAGTTGGCAACAATTTGAAGACTTGTTCCATACTCAGTTCTATAGGGTTGAGCCTGAGGTTTCCATGGCAGACCTTTTCAGACTTCACAAACTACCTGGAGAGTCAGTAAAGGGCTTCCTTTCCAGATTCAGGAGAGCCAAGCATAAGTGTCATTTGTCCTTACCCCCAGAAATGTGAAAATGGCTATAAATGGTTTAGACTTAGAACTTCGTAAGAAGTTTGAAGGGGTAAAATTTCATGACTTGTTTGACTTAGCCAGCAAAGTGGCTAAATATGAAGAACTGCTTCATGAAGAACAAGACAGGAAAGCCTCTTCCAAGAGCACCTACTATCGTAATCCTAATTCTGATATGTTTGCCATTGATGTTCAAAGAGACTTTAAAGTTAACGTGTCTGAACTCAACATTAAAAAGGCCTACACATGTGAGGCCTTGTCCAAACCAAAAGCGGCCATTACCAACTTGCAAGCCGCTTCCAGTTCCAAGTTAAAGGGCATAGACCCTTCCAGAGGCTATTCTTTTAACATTTCCAAAGCCGAGCAAATATTTGATTTGCTCATGACTGATAATCAATTGACTCACACTCCAAGCCATAAGATGCCAACAACCACCGAAATGGCTGGAAAAGACTATTGCAAGTTTCACAATTCTTTGAGACATTCCACTAACAATTGTGTAGTTTTCCACAATATCATGCAAAAAGCGGTTGAAGATGGAAAATAGAAGTTTCCAGACAAACCAGAAGTGATGGGAGTGGATGGGAATCCATTTCCAGCAGTAGTCACTACTAATGTCATTTCTTTGGCTCCAGAGCATCCCTGAAGAAATGTGGACTTGACAGACCCAAAAGCCAAAGGAAAGTTGGAAATTCTGAGGGCAATAACATCTATGGAAAAGACTGTTCCAGAGTTGGAAAAGCAACTCCGGCAAGCCCAGATATCCCTAATCTGGCAAGGTGGTTGTCCAAAATGCAAATGTCATAATGAAGGAGGTCAAAAAGACCTTCAGAAAGATAAGCAAGTAGAGGGACCTTCCAATGACAACCATGGACAGAAAAGGAAAGTGCAGAGTAGACTTACATTCCAACAGTTGGAAAAAGCTACAACTGTGACTATTCCAGAAAAGGAGAGCCACATCCATTCTGAAATGAGGTATTCCCATCAAAGGAGACCTGCAATGGAGAGATGTGAATTCCTTCCCAAAAGTATAGCAACGAAAGAATCCAGTGGAAAGTACAGAAGTTCCAGTGGAAGGTATAGCAGAAATCATAAAAGCCACACTCATTCCAGACCTAGGTTGGTTTCCGAGGTATGGATCAGAAAAGGAAATGAACAGATTCGTCCAAGAATGGTTAAGCCACCCATCACTCAACCAAAGAGGTGGAAGAGAGTAGACCATCCAAAGTTTCCTATACGTGATGATTCAGCCTTAACCCACACTAAAAAGCGTAGACTTCAAAGAAAAAGGGTTGAAAGGAGGAAACTATGGTAGAATGATCATGGGTGGACTAAGGAGTCATTGGAAGTTCAAAAACCTTCAGACCTAACTGAACATCCAACAAGAGGAAGGGACAAAAGTCCATATGACTTGCTAGATCTGGTTTCAAAAGTTGGAGACTCCCTGATGAAAGAGGATGTTCCAACAAAAGAAGGTGCAGAGATGGAAATATCTCAGAGTTCCACCAGTAACAAGAAAATTCACTTTGGAAGCCTACCATATAAGTTCTCTTGCAACATGGTGGTGATCCTTCCATTGGTGTTTGAACCTAAGCCTGATCAACCCACTTAAATGGAAGGGGATGTGGTGGATACAAGTCCTCATCTGGAAAGTTCGAGACCAGCATCCTTTTCCAGCTGGAATAACCAA